TTTTTCTTCTGTATGGTTAAGAAGGTGGTCTAGTTTCACTTTTTGCATGTTTCTGTCCAATTTTCCAAACATGACTTATTGAACAAACTGTCTTTACCCCATTGTTTGTTATTATCTCCTTTGTCAAATATTAATTGACCATAAGGTTGTGGGTTTATTTATGGGCTCTCTAATTTGTTCCATTCATCTGTATGTCTATTTTTATGCCAAATATCATGCTGTTTTGGTTACTATGATCTTATAGTATAGTTTCACATCAGGTAGCATAATTTCTCCAATTCTTCTTCCTTAACATTGGTATGACTATTCAAGCTCTTTTAGGTGTTCCACATACATTTTTGGAATATTTGTAGTCATTTTGCAAAATGCACCATTAGTGTCTTGATTGATATTGTACTGAATCTATAGATTCAGTACTTTGGGCAGTATGGACATTTTAATGATGTAATTTCTTCCTATCCATGAACATAGTATATGCTTCCACTCACTTTATCTTCTTCAGTTTGTCTCTTCAGTGTCTTATAATTTTCTGAGTACAGGTATTTTACATCCTTGGTTAAATTTATTTCTAGGTATTTATTACATTTGAAGCAATTGTGAATGGGATTGTTTTCTTAGTTTCCCTTTCAGAAAATTCATTATTAATGTTTAAAAATGCAACTTATTTCTGGATATTTATTTTGTATCCTGCTACTTTAATAAATTCAGTTCTAGTAAGCTTTTGGTAGAGTCTTTAGGGTTCACTATATACAGTATCACATCACCTGCAAATAGTGACAGTTTTACTTCTTCCTTTCCAATTTGGATGCCTTTTATTTCTTCTTCTTGTCTGATTGCTGTGGCTAGGGCTTTAACTACTATGTTGAATAAGAAGGCAAAATCAGACAAACCTGTCTTGTCCCCAATCTTAAGGGGAACACTTGCAGTTTTTGCCCATTGAGTATGATATTGGCTGTGAGTTTGTCATATATGACCTTTATTACATTGAAGTTTGTTCTATCTATTCCCACTTTGCTGAGTGTTTTTTTTAGTCATAGATGGGTGCTGTATTTTATCAAATACTTTATCTTCATCTGATAATGTGCTTATGTGCTTTTATACAACATTTTATGTGACATAACACATTTATTGTTTTGTAGATATTATACCAACATTGCACCCTGGAATAAATTCCACTTGATTGTAGTGTATGATTTTTTTGATTTATTGCTGTTTTTGGTTCCTAATATTTGTTGAAGATTTTAGCATCTATGTTCATCAGGGATATCAGACTGTAATTTTTTTCTTTATAGTTTCTTTATCTGCTTTTGAGATTCAGATAATGCTGGCTTCGTATAATGAGCTTAGGAGTCTTACCTGATCTTGAATTTTTTGGAATTCAAGAATAAGTGTTAGTTTGTCTTTGAATGTTTGGTAAAATTTACATGTATATTCATTCAGTCCAGGACTTTTGGTTTGTTAGCAGTGTTTTGATTACTACTTCAACTTCACTAGTTTCAGTCTGTCTATTCAGATTCTCTGATTCTTTCTGATTCAGTTTTGGAAGATTGTGTGTTGCTAGAAATTTATTCATTTTTTTTTTACAGGTTGCCCATTTTGTTGGAATGTTGTTCATTATATTTTCTTACAATTTTTGTATTTTGTTGATATCATTTGTTATTTCTGTTTCATTTCTTATTTTATTTATTTGGGTCCTCTTTTTTAATTTAAATTTTATTGAATTTATTGTGATTACATTATATAAAAATTATGTAGGTTTAAAGTGTACACTTCTGTAGTACATCATCTGTATATTGTATTGTGTGTTCACCACCTCAAGAGGTGTCTCTTTCTACCACTATTTATCCCTCATTTACACTCTTCTGATCCTACCATTTTATTATTTTTTTCTGATTATGACCATACTGGTGTTTGTTTGAGTGTTGTTTTTTTCTGCTCAATCCCTTTACCAATTGGCCATCAGTAGATGTGTGGATAAAAGATATCACCAGTATATTTACACAATAGAATACTACTCAGCCATAAAAAAAGAAGAAAATCTTGCCTTTTGCAACAGCATGGATGGACCTGGACACTATTATGCTAGTTAAATAAGCCAGCCAGAAAAATAAAAATACCGTATGGTTTCACATATATGTGGAATCTAATGAACAAAAACTCTCTCTTTTTTTCTTGAAGAGTCTGGTTAAAAGTTTATCAATCTTGATTATCTTTTCAAAGAACTAGCTCTTGTTTTTCAAATATGGCCATACCACCTTGAATGTACCTGATCTGATCTGATATCAAAGTTAAGTAGAATCAGGCCTGGTTAGTACTTAGATTTCAATTGAAATATTTGAAAAGTTCTCTTCCTACAATTTAAGGATATGGGTTATGGCTTGAGTTACTTCATGAAAAACACTGTATTTATGGTGATAGTGATTTCCAAGAGACTAGCCCAGGATCATTTGCCCAACCATTATCTGCCAGTAGGTAGAAATAAATGCAAGAAAAAGCAACACAAATCAAAGTGTTTGAAGATTACATCATTTTATTTTTTAACTTTTTAATTTTAATTGTTGTTCAAGTACAGTTTTCTGTCTTTTACTCCCATCCCATCCCACCCCCAACAGTGCTCCCCACCAACCTCCCATTTGCACCCATCCTAGTTTTTGTCTATGTGTCTTTTATACTTGTTCCTGTAAACCCTTGCCCTTTTCCCCTGAAAATCCCTCCCTTCTCCACTCTGGACACTGTCAGCCTGTTCTCTATTTCAGTGTCTTGGGTTATATATTGCTTGCTTATTTGTTTTGTTATTTAGGTTCCTGTTAAATATGAGTTCATATGGTATTTGTCTTTCAACACCTGGCTTATTTTGCTTAGCATAATGCTTTCCAGTTCCACACATGTTGTTGCAAAGGGTAGGAGCTCCTTCTTTCTTTCTGCTGCATAGAATTCAGTTGTGTAAATATACCATAGTTTTTTGATCCATTCATTTACTGATGGGCACCTAGGTTGCTTCTAGCACTTGGCTATTGTAAATTGTACTGCTATGGACATGGGGTTGCATAGGTTCTTTTAGATTAGTGTTTCAGGGTTCTTAGGATATAATCCTAGCAGTGGAATTGCTGGGTCAAAAGGCAGACCCATTTTTAGTTTTCTTTAAAAATTTCCTACTGTTTTCCATAGTGGTTGTACCAGTTTGCAATCCCACCAAGAGTGCACTAGGGTCCCCTTTTCTCCACAACATCTCCAACACTTGTTGTTTGTTGCTTTGTTTATGATGGCCATTCTAACCGGTGTGAAATGGTATCTTATTGTGGTTTTAATTTGCAGCTCTCTGATAGCTAGCAATACCGAGCATCTATCTTTTCATGTTTCTGGATCCTCTGTATGTCCTTCTTGGAGAAATATTTGTTCAAGTCCTTTTCCCATTTTCTAATTGTGTTGCTTGTCTTCTTAGAGTGGAGTCACGTAAATTCTTTACATATTTTGGAGATTAAACCCTTGTCTGAAATATCATTAGCAAATATGTTTTCCCATATGGTTGATTCTTTTTATTTTAATACTGTTTTCCTTAGCTGTGCAAAAGCTTTTAATTTTGATGAGATCCCATTTGTTTATTCTTTCCTTTATGTCCCTTGTTCTAGGGGACATATCAGTAAAAATGTTACTGGGTGAAATATCTGAGATTTTCCTGCCAATGTTCTCCTCTAGGACTTTAATTGTGTCATTGCTTATATTTAAGTCTTTTAACCATCTTGAATTAATTTTGGTGTATGGCGTAAGTTGGTGTTTGAGTTTCATTTTTTTTTTGCACATAGCTGTCCAGTGCTCCCAACACCATTTGTTAAAGAGGCTATTTTTGCTACATTTTATGCTGCTGCCACTTTGTCAAATAATAATTGACTGTAGAGACTTGGTGTATTTCTGGGCTCTCTATTCTGTTCCATTTGTTTATGTGTGTGTTCTTAATGCCAGTACTAGGCTGTTTTGATTACAGTGGCCTTGTAATACAGTTTGATATCAGGTATTGTGATCCTTCTTACTTTGTTCTTATTTCTCAAAATTGCAGCTGCTATTCGGGGTCATTTATAGTTGTATATAAATTTTTGAAGCATTTATTCTGTGGCTGTGCAATATGCCATTGGTCCTTTAATAGGTATTGCATTGAATCTGTAAATTGCTTTGGGTGGTATGGACATTTTGATGGTGTTAATTCTTCTGATCCATGAACACCATATATGTTTCCATTTGTTTGTGTCTTCCCTGATTTCTTTCATCAGTGTTGTGTAGTTTTGTGCATACAGGTCTTTTACCTCCTTAGTTAGGTTTATTCCTAGGTATTTTATTTTTCTTGTTGCTATATCAAATGGGATTTTTTTATTTCTGTTTCTGATATTTCATTGTTGGTGTACAAAAATGCCTTTGATTTCTGAGTATTGGCTTTGTATCCTGCTATTTTGCTGAATTCATTTATTAGTTTGAGCAGGGTTTTTTTGGTGGAGTCTATAGGATTTTCTATGTACACTATCATGGCATCTGCAAGCAATGACAGTTTTGTTTCCTCCTTTCCAATTTGGATGCCTTTTATTTTCTTTTCTTGTATAATCACTCTGGCTAAGACTTCCAATACTATATTGAATAGAGGTGGTGAAAGTGGACAACCTTGTCTTGTTCCTGATCTTAGTAGAAAAGCTTTTAGTTTTTGCCCATTGAGTATGATGTTGGCTGTAGTTCTCTCATATGTGGCTTTTATTATATTGAGGAACACTCCCTCTATTCCCACTTTGCTCAGTGTTTTTATCATAAATGGGTGCTGTACCTTATCAAATGCTTTTTCCACATCTATTGATAAGATGACATCATTTTTAGTTCTGAAATATTTTAGGTTTTTGTATACATAGAACTTTGAAATTTAAAAAAATTTAATAGTTACTAAAATGTTTGTCTTTAAATTCAGGATGAAGCATAACTTTTATCATTATACCCATTATTCTAAATGTACTGTATTTTGCTAGATGGAAGATGCTGTTGAGGATATAAGCAGTATGGAATCAAGTTTTAAAGAGGAAGAAACAGACTCTCTTCTGCTAATGCAAAGAAAAGTAAGTATTTCTAGACCTGAGGTCAATGTGATTTAAATAAATAATAGTTCTGATTACAAAAAAATGTCTTAGTATATAGTAAAATCATTTCCCTAAGATCTTTTAAATTCAATTTATTGGAAAAAATAAAATGCTTTTATTCTTTTGTTGATTACAATTGCCAAAGGATAATTTAAGTATCAGGAAAGAAGAATGAACATTATTTAAACTGCACCCTGAAATGCTACGACCCTTTCTGCATAATAGAATAGTTAATGAAATACTACTCCAATAATCATGTATAAAATTACCCAAATTAATATATGTAAATATGATTAAACTAAATATGTGCAGTTAGAATTTAAATAACACACTTGACTACTATGTTCTCCATATAATAATGAAAAGAAATACAAACTTGTGATTTGGAGGAATAAATAGGAAGGACACAGGGACGAGAACTAAAGGGGGTGGAAATGGGAGGGAGGTGGGGAGCAAGGGGCAGGGGAAGCTGGGATGGGAAAAATAGACAAAAAACTGTACTTGAAAAATAACTAAATAAAATTAATTAAAAAATAAAAAAAATAAAGTGTAACCCACAACCCAATAAAAAAAATAAAGGAAAACTATGAATGCAAAAAAAATAAATAAAGTATATTTTATTGATTATGCTATAAAAAAAGAAATACAAACTTGTATTTATGTTTTCAAAATAAAATATCAAATAAAGAAGCTTCAGATTGTAAGAATAAATTTATTTTTTTTTAATTTTTTATTGATTATGCTGTTACAGTTGTTCTATTCCCCCCCTTCATTCCCCTCCACCCTACCCCCCATCCCCACCATTATTACCCCCCCTTTAGTTTATGACCATGTGTCTCAAGATCTTTAGATTCTATATTTCCCATGCTATTCTTGCCCCCCGTCTAATTTCTATCTACTGTCTATGCTTCTTATTTTTTGTACCTTCTCCCCCCTTCTCCTCCTCCCACTCCCCTGTTGCTAACCCTCCTTGAGATCTTCATTTCTATGTTTCCACTCCTGATCTAGCTGTCCTTTTAGTTTGCTTTCATTTCAGGTGTGGTTGTTAATAACTGTGAATTTGTTGTCCTTTCACTGTTCATGTTTCTTTAACTTCTTTTTATTAGATAAGTCTCTTTAACATTTCATATAATAAGGGCTTGGTGATGATGAACTCCTTGAATTTGATCTTATCTGAGAAGCACTTTATCTGTCCTTCCATTCTAAATGAAAGTTTTGCTGGATAGATCAATCTTGGTTGTAGGTCTTTGGATTTCATGACTTGGAATACCTCTTTCCAGCCCCTTCTTGCCTGTAAGGTCTCTTTTGAGAAATCTGCTGACAGTCTGATGGGGACTCCTTTGTAGGTGACTGTCCCCTTATCTCTTGCTGCTTCTAGGATTCTCTCCTTCATTTTAATCTTGGCTAATATAATTATGATGTGCCTTGGTGTGTTTCTTCTTGAGTCCAACTTCTTTGGGACTCTCTGAGCTTCCTGGATTTCTTGGAAGTCTATTGCCTTTGCCTTTAAGTGTGAGGAACGGAGCCTTGGACTCCCAGGTCGCTGGGTTGTGATGCTGTATGTGGGGGCATGGTCAGAGCGGGGAAATGGTGGCACCCTTTGCTGTTTCGTGCTGCTGGGTGAGGAGCAGAACCTTAGGTGGTTCACCAGGGCCGGGCCACTCAGAGTCGCTGGGTTATGATGCTGTATGTGGAGGTGGGGTCAGAGCAGAGAAATGGCGGCGCCCTCCCTGCCACTTGCAGCAGGACCGGCTGGGTCCTGGTCCAATCGCCCACTCCCTCACTGGTCTATCTGCGCACAAATGCACAACCACAGTCCACCACAGCCCTGCTCCCTCGCTGTTTCCCTGCAGTCGCTGCTTACTTGGTCGCTCACTCAGTAGCTCACTAGGTCCAACCCTGCACCTGAGTCTGTCTGACCGAGTTTTCCTGTGCAACCCCGCTTCACCAGCTGCTGGTTTCGCCCCTTACCGGTCAGACTGAAGAATTTGTTGTAAACAGACTTCCAGAAAGTTCAATTTTCTGTGTTCTGGCTGTGTTTTCTGTTGCTAATATTTAATTGTCTCTAAACTTGGTTGTGTGAGAAAGCACGGCATATCCACCTATGCCTCCATCTTGGCGGAAGTCAGATTGTAGAATAAATTTAAATTGATGGGCGGAATGGGCTGGGCTGGGAGAAATAGACAGAAAACTGTACTTGAAAAATAACTAAGTAAAAAATATATAATTCAATTTACAATAAATAAATCAATAAATTGCTTAGTAAATGGTGTTTTCTTCTGAATTTTTGAAACAGACAAGATAATGGATGAATATTAGAAAATATTTCTTGATGCAGAAAAAATTATTATATAATATTATTGAGGAAGCTAGGTAATATGGCTTTACCTGTCCTGTCTGTCTACCTATCATCTATCTATCTTTCTAATCTCTATAAACACTCATTTAATTATATGTCTAATCTTCTATAACATTTTCTGTGAGTGATTTAATCTTCAGATTTTCTGTTTGAAGCTCCGCACATAATCAAACATCCTCATAAGGTCATGACTGAGTTTTGCTTAATTTACCAGGACTAATAACTATTACATTCAGATGCTCTACACCTTGTAGAATAAAGAAAAAAGGATTGTTACCACAAAAGAAATATAACTTTACTCTGAGAGAATAACAAGAAGTTAAAGATGAACTGAAGAAAGAATGTTCCTTTAAGGTAATGGATGGACGTCTATGTTGAAACTAATACATATTCCTGGAATAACAGTCAATGAAGTGATAGTACCTTATTCCCTACTTTATTGCTGTTGCCTTTACATTGCTCATTTATCAACCACTAAAATTGTTATCTCTAAAGAGTGTGTAAGTTCTTCTCACACATTTTGAAAAGTTATATTTGGTTTATTTATGGCTTTCGATTTTGCAGAAAATATGAGAAAATATGAAACATTTTAATTGAAGTGTGACTTTAAACATTTTTTACTTAAAGAAAGTGAATACTGACATTATTGCATAGTGTGGATACCATTCATCAGTAAATCCCTGAACTGGAATATGTTAATGATGGATGTCTTAAATTTAAATCTAAAAATTTGGAGAAAGGGTCCCTTTTTTCTTTACTAATTCCCAAATAGACTATTTAAAGAGAAATATTTCTTTTCTTTTTTTTTCCAATATGCAGAACCTCTACTTTATAAAAAGTCACTAATACTAATTTTATCTGACAAAGATGAAATGAGGTTTAAAGCCTAGCTTTCTGAGTCTAATTTCACCGAATAAGGATTCTATTTTCTTAATTAGTATTTAACTCTGGGTTAGAGAAAATTATATATATTTCCTGCTAATTCTTTTCATTGGATGTAGTATTTCATTGAAATTATATTTTGAAAACTTTTCTTTGCCAATTATCTTGCTTTCCAGAGACTGCATAGAATAACAGTACAATTTGTTGCCAATGATTATTGGGGATTTGCTTTTGATATTCAGAATATAATTTTAATCCTTACTTGAGCATATATTTACTAATATTTTTAGAAAGAGAGGAAGGGAAAAAGAAAGAGCAGGGTTGGGGACTTCAATATGTGAGAGAAACATCCCTCAGTTGCCTCTCATATGAACCCTGAGTGCAGATTGAACCATATACCTAGGTAAGTGCTCTGACAGGGAATCAAACCCACAACCTTTTTGTGTATGGGATGATGCTCCAACAGACTGAGCCAACTGGCCAGGGCCAGATTGTTTAAAAGTTAGATAATACTGACCTATCTGTATTTATATAAAGAAATATCTACTGTTAACCAATCAGTAATTATTGATAATTTTTATTTATATATCAAACCAAACTGTTCAATTAACCAAATATTTATTTAATACTTATTATGTATAAAGCATAATACTTGCACCATAGAAAAGAAAAGTTGAGTGAGATACAATGGACATGTCAAGAGACCACATCATAGTGGGGTGGTGCAGTGAGGCACACCTGAGAAGCAGGGAAGGAAAGAGTATGAATCTCGGTGTTAAATCCAGGTTCTAATTTAGACATTGTACAAGACACATAACCTCTCTTTGCTTCTTTCTTTCATATTATAAGAACAATTAAAATAATTATCTCCAAATTCATTATATATCAAATCTTAGTAGATTACATGTGTATATTTTAAATGTTGGTCAGATAGTTGCTCTTCAGTTTAAGTGAAGAAGAAACCATTACCAAAATGAATTTTTTTGAGAAATGCTTTTATGAAAAGATGATGTTTGAAATATAGTTATGAAGATGGTTAAGATTTTAAGGGTAGATATAAAGATAGATAAGACCAGAGATAGGAAACCATGAAGAATTATTTTAGTTCATGTAGATAAATATAAAACCTGCTAGGTTCAGAGGAATGCTTTGAATTTCATATTAGTCAGGGAACTATTGATTGGAGATGGCAGAATCTGGTTCTATGGGGCTTAGGCATGAAAGGAATTACCTAAAAATACGAGGTCTGTACAGAAAAAGTCCAGCTATTGTTAATATAATGAAAATGGTTTGCATGACATCAATGTAAACTGGCAGCCAAGGAGAGTGGACTGGAATGTGCATGCATAAACAATGACGCCTTCACTGTACTAGTCAATGGAGGTGGTGATGTCTGTTGAGTGAGCGTGTGTACTGTGTGGCCATCTCATTTAAAATGACTGAGTGAGGAGATCAATGAATCTGCATCAAATTTTGTGTTAAGCATGAACATTCCTCCACAGAAACTATTCTGATGATTTAGAAAGCCACAGCTATGAGCAAAGTCATGATTGGCAGCTTCATTATGACAATGCGCCTGCTCATACATCATATCTCGTGCAGGGTTTTTGGTGAAACATTAAATCACCCAGGTGACTCAGCCTACCTTCAGCCCATATTTGGCATCCTGTGACATCTGGCTTTTTCCAAAACTAAAATCACCTTTGAAAGGGGTATGATTTCAGACCATTGATGATAT